AGGAACCCAGGCGTCCTGGGTTCGAGGAACCCGTGCCTGGGTTCCTCGACCCGCGCCTGGGTTCGAGGAACCCAGGCGCTGGTGCTGGGTTCCTTCGAACCCAGTAGGGAGGGGAAAGAGAAAAGGAAAGAGAAGGAGAGAAAAAAAGAAAAGGAAAGAAATAAAAAAGAAATAAAAAAAGAAAAGAAATTTTTATTTATTAAATTATATTTTTGTGCACAATAATTTTATAATTAAAAATGCCACATCACCCATTTTATTTCCAAGTAATATTTAATATTAATAAAAATTGAATTTGTTAACCGAAAATTTTACCACGTCAGCAATTAACTGACGGAAGGACAAAATTGGTCCCAAAAATTGAAGTTTAAGGATTTTTTTAATACTTTTTGAAGTTTGAGGGTAGTTTTAGTCCAAAAATGAAAGTTAAGGGACTGAATCGGGGATATAACCTATAAATTAATTATAAAAAATATATTTAACCTGCATTCTTAAAGAATAGGGTAAAGAAACTCTTTTTTCATAGTGATTCTAATCCAGTTTTGAAAAAAGAAAAAGAGAAAAAAAAAAACAATTAGAATCTTCAAAACTGAATTAGAATCATTAAAAAAAAAAAACCTGGAACATTCTAGTAGAAGAAAATGCTAGAGAAAGGTGACGTGTCGCATTCTAATTCAGTTTTAAAATTTAGCTTATCGCAGGCGACATCACGCGGTTATTCTGGTGCCTTCTCTTCTAGTACTTCCGATTCATCTTCTCGGACGTTCTAAATTTTTGCTTTCATCAGGTAATGTCGTAGTGGATTTGTTTTTCCTTCATTTTCTCTGCATCCAATCAGGCCTAATTTCCCATGGATACAATTTAAGCAGTTCGATGATTTTGGTCGTATCATGGAACTGATTCTGATTCTTTCATGTTCAATATTTGGTTTGAATGATAATTCTTCAGCAAACTTTGCTGATCTGATTGCTTCCGTGTAGGGAACAACGCATATAAGATGCAGAGGGGAAAAGATGGTAGAAATGACCCATTGGGCGAGCAATTTGGGGCTTTACCAGGGTTTGGTGGCTTTGGATTCCAAAGAACTATGATGCCTGGTCTATTTGGAGGAAGGGATCCTTTTGATGACCCATTTTTCACTCGTCCATTTGGTGACATGTTTGATGGGAGAGATTTTGTTTCTCGTGATGCAGCTCGGACTAACAGCGCTAATGGAATTGTAATACAAGAACTGGATTCTGATGATGATGAGGAAGGAAAAGAAGAAAAAGGCACCTCTGCCCAGTCTATGCCAAGCAAAGAACCATCTGTTGAGCATCCAGATGACAATCCTAATGGTAAATTAAGAAGTAAACATGCGAGTTAGGCCTTAATTTAATGATATAAGGTTTTTAATCTTATTTGTGTATGAGACTGAGTATTGTTGTGGTTTAGTTTATCCAGAGGAGGAAAAGATTCAGAATTTGAATGTTAGGAATGAAGGAACCAAATCAGAGGCTCGCACTTTTGGTTTTCAGACCTGCAAAGTTACGTATGGTGGTGTAGATGGAGCTTATTACACTTCTTCAAGAACCCGAAGGACAGGAAATGATGGCGTAAGTAACTTGTTATAGGGAGACTTGTTTGTTACTGGTTTCTTTCCTTCCTGTTTGTAATGTCCGTGTTGTTGTTGTTGTTGTAGGTGGTGCTTGAGGAGAGCAAAGAAGCAGATAAGACAACAGGTCAAGCATTGTTGTTGTTGTTGTTGTAGGTGGTGCTTGAGGAGAGCAAAGAAGCAGATAAGACAACAGGTCAAGCAAAACATAGGATTACTAGAGGGATAAATGATAAGGTGATTATAGCATTTTTAGTTCTATTTGCTTTCTAGGGGGCAGGTAATAAAAAAAAAAAACTCTTAACTTAGAATCTAGTTCAGTAGGTTAATCAGTTTATGAAATAAGTGTAAAGGGGTGGATGTCTTTTGTGAGGGTTATTGTATATTCTGAGACTTCAAGGTGTACTGTTAAAAGTAAGAAGCTTGGGTTGTTTATGCAGGGCCATTCAGTTACAAGAAAACTTAATGCAGATGGTAAGGTGGACACAATGCAAATGTTACACAATTTGAATGAAGGTTAGTTACTGCTGCCTGCTAAGATTGTTAAGGAGCATTATGCTTGAAAGAAGAATTAAAGTACTCACATTGCAATTCTTTTCTAGATGAGCTTGCCAGTTTTGATAAGGCTTGGAATGGTAATGTGAAAGGGAATTTGCCTGGTTGGAATGATGGATTCCGTATGCATGGAAATGCTGGTAAGCATTTGTTTCATTGCTTTATTGTTGGTTATTTTTAGGAAATCATTTATTTTCTACTCAAGCTTGTACTTTATTAGTTATTGGAAAGTTGACACATATATGTAGTATTATCCCTGCAAAATCACCTAAATGTTGAGGTTGGCTTCAAATCATCTGAAATTGCTTCCGTTCCTTTTCCAATTTCCATCATACTGCTGATCATGGTCTGTAGCTTTTAACTGTGTTTTGGTCCATTTTATTGCCTGCAACCATTGGGAATGCAGGATCTAGCAGTGATGAACAGAAAGGGAGGGCACTGTGGGAAGGACGGACACTACCATCTAAGGAACATATCCAGAATGCTGGGGGAAGAGCAGATGTTGAAGCTGGGACAAATTCTTATGGGGGTAGGACCAAGAAGGTTAATAGAATTAACATAGAATGAATATGAATACATGTTGAGCTTCGTGTTTGCAGTTTCACCTATTAATTAGTCCTGTTGTAGCAATGGTACCTCTCCCTATCCAGTATTTGTCATAATTTATGTAACCATAGGACCACATCATAGACCTTGCAAGGGTGAGAGGAATGAACATGGCTTGGTGGTTTGGTTATTTTGCTCTCTTTGAAGTTTGAAAGATAATACATGATCTGTGTGTTACAACATTTCACGATATTTTACTTTTTACTTTTTTACTTTTTACTTTTTATATGTTTTTTTATTGTTTTAAAAATATATGAAATATTAATTAAATAAAGTATTAAATATATAAAATATATTATATATATATTTAAAATATTAAAGGATATAAAAAAATTATAACTGCAGTTATAATTTAACGTCGTCAAATTAAACTTAATCCAAATTGAAAGTAAAAAGAACAGAAAGGAAACAAAACTGGGCCCAATCGTACATATTTGGGCTTGTAGTTTCTGGACCTCATTAGTCATTTCAAAACCAGGATTACAACCTTATTATTATTATTTTTTTATATCGAAAAATTACTCAACAGTCCCGAGCTTTAGCTGTAACGTAACGGAAAAAATATACACAATTTTATTTTATTTTTTTATTAACTTTTCGATATTTAATATTTGAGTTGCATTAAACCTTAAAAGAAAAAAAACTCTTTCTATATTTATTTTTTTATCTAAAAAATTTAAACTTGAGACTTTAAAAAATATACATAATTTTATTTTATTTTTTTATTAATTTTTTAATATCTAATATTTGAGTTGTGTTAAACCTTATAATAAAAGAAACTCTTCTTGTATTTATTTTTTTATTTAAAAAATTTAAACTTGAGATGTTATTTAAAAAGAATTGAATTTTTTTAATTTAAATTAACATATCATTGTTATATACACCAAATTATATGAAATATGATTAAAACATTTTGCGCACTTGGCCTATTTGGCCTAATGGAAGAGCAGGTTAACCCCCTCTAGCCTTATGCAGTTTAATATCATACGGTTATTTTGATATTT